GGACAACGTGCAGGTGGGGCCGGGCCGGGCCGGGCCGGAGCGGGGCGCGGGCGGCGCTGACGCCTCTGCCCGCCGCGCAGGGCGGCGGCTCGGCCGTCATCGACATGGAGAACATGGACGACACGTCGGGCTCGAGCTTCGAGGACATGGGCGAGATGCACCAGCGCATGAAGGAGGAGGAGGAGGAGGAGGAGGGCGAGGCGGGCGGCGCCGAGGACGAGGAGGGCGAGTTCCTGGGCGTGAAGGGGCTGCGCGGGCAGCTGGGCCGGCAGGTGGCCGACCAGGTGAGCGGGGCCCGGGGCTCGGGGCCGTGGGGCGCGGAGCGGGGCCGTGGGGCGCGGAGCGGGGCCGTGGGGCGCGGAGCGGGGCCGCACGCTGCCCCCCGTCCCTCGGCCGCCCCGGCAGGTGTGGCAGGCGGGCAAGCGGCAGGCGAGCAGGGCCTTCAGCCTCTACGCCAACATCGACATCCTGCGGCCCTACTTCGACGTGGAGCCCGCGCAAGTGCGCGCCAGGTGGGCAGCGCGGCACGAGCCCCCGTCCCTCCCCTCCGCGCATCCTGCGGCGCTGCCATTAACCCCCCCCGAGCCCCCGTCCCTCCGCTCCGCGCATCCCGCGGCGCTGCCGTTACCCCCCCGCCAGCGGCAGTGTTAACCCGCCGGCAGCACGCCCGTGTCCCGCAGTCCCCTCGCGAGGGGATCGCCGCCCCGCAGGGCCCCTGCGGCTCGACAGCAGAGCAGCCGTGCCGGGCGTAGGGGATCCTTGGGGGTCCTAACCTTGCTGTTGTTTTCCCCGCCTCCGGCGTCGCCGCGACGCGCTCGCCTGTGACGCAGGCTGCTCGAGTCCATGATCCCCGTGAAGATGGTGAACTTCCCGCAGGTGAGTTCCCCTTTTGCCAAGTCGGACTCTGTGGCTCAAGCCAACATCCCGCAGGCACCCCGGAGATGTTAATTAGCCCACATTATGTTAACGGGGTCCTAAGCTTGTTAGGTGTTCGTTCTCCCTCAGTGGTTGCTGGCCAGCTCTTCCCCAGGGTGYCTTTAAATCCCGTTCTGTTACTGCAGTGCTGGCACAGCTCTAGTTCTCCAAACTTCACTTAACTGCATTTCCACAGCCTGTTTCACRCCACTTTGGCTCCTTATCATATACCCTATTTTCCCTGGCTCCTGTGCCTGACTGGTCCTTCTCAGATCAATAGTGGGTGGGTAGGTGATAACATTCACCTAAGGCACTTGTCACAGGGCTTGGGACAGGGAGCTTGGCRTTCAGGAGCACTAACCAAACCTTCCCTGGTGCGTTTCCTTCCGCAGAAAATCGCCGGTGAGCTCTAYGGGCCCCTCATGCTGGTTTTCACGCTGGTGGCCATCCTCCTGCACGGGATGAAGACTTCGGACACCATCATTGTACGGCGAGTCCCGCTGCTAGGCTGGGGTTTGCACCAGGATCTGGACCAACATAGTGACAGCAGAGGGGGAGAGGAGATCTCTTGCTTGCCTTGCTGAGAAGCAGACTCGCTGGAGGCAGAGCCGGATAGTTTAGGGGTGGGAGGAAGAAAGCAGTGGAAAGTCTCAACACTCTGTTGCTGGGAGGGCTCACGTGGCATCCTGGATGCTGCCGCTCGGCAGCGGCTCTGGGAGCTCTTGGAGGCGGAATTTGGGCACCAGCGGGTCACTTCCAGCGTCTCCTCACGCTGACACTGTCTCCGCAGCGGGAAGGCACGCTRATGGGCACAGCCATTGGCACCTGCTTCGGTTACTGGTTGGGCGTCTCCTCCTTCATCTACTTCCTGGCCTACCTGTGCAACGCCCAAATCACGATGGTGCAGATGCTGTCGCTCTTGGTACGTATGGACAGGGCTGCCCTGAGATGCAGGTTCACTGCACGGTGCTTCAGCAGGACAGTGTCGGGGGCTTCCCAGAAGTGTGGAAGTCTCCTCTTAAATCAGTGGTCCCAGATGACTGTAGTCCTRTTGTGTGGGAATAACCTCAAATTCCGTCTTGCTCTTGTGACCTGCCCCATCCCAGGCACAGGGGTAAGTGCAAAGTGGATGTTGCTTCACGAAGATCTCCTGCTTTGTACTTTCCCAACTGAGAGCATGGGACTTAAAAACAGGAGGTTCCAATTTCTCTGGAAAGAGAGGCTGACTTCCTCTGTTTGCCAGGTTGCTCTGATCTTCATTATCCCTGTGAATCCTCCAGGCAGATGAGCTAGGAGTGAGCAGCTCCCTTGGCACGCTAGCTTTGACATTTGGTGTGCTGGTTGAGAGTTAGGTGAAGCTCTGCCTCACTGCGGTGCTGCAGGGCGCTCGTGCTTGGGACCAGTGGCCCTTCGTGTGGACTGCCACTTATAACACACGTATTTTTGGGTTTTTTTTAGGGCTATGGTCTCTTTGGACACTGCATCACCCTCTTTGTCACCTATAATATCCACTTCCACTCCCTCTTCTACATCTTCTGGTTAGGTGTTGGTGGACTGTCTACACTACGAATGGTAAGGGACAAGCAACCTGCTGCCCTTCTGCTCCAGGGAGGATTGGAAAGGGAAATGCCACTTGCTTTCTGTTCCTGTGGAAGTAGTTCTTAACTGCAGCCAGGTGGGCGCCCATGAAGAGCAGCCTGGTGCTCTGGGGCTGTTTGGGCACTGGTGTCTGGTAAATCCTCACCAGCTCTCCGGGCTGCAGGAGCCCTGCTCCCACACAGCCCCTGCTGCAGTGCGGAGTCCTGCCTGAGCATCCGGAACTCTTGGCAGGGCTGGACACGCTTCCCCCATATGAAACAAAATCGGAGCTTGGTGCTGTGAGCTGCTGAAGGGCCCCGAGCGGTGCTCCCGTTGGCTCTGCCCACTTGGGGTGCTGCCTGCACCCTGAAGGCAGCAGCCGCCTTGTCCCTGAGCCCCTCCTCTCTCCTAGGTTGCTGTGCTGGTGTCGCGCACCGTGGGGCACACTCAGAGGCTCGTGCTGTGCGGGACCCTTGCTGCTCTGCACATGCTCTTCCTCCTCTACCTGCACTTTGCTTATCACAAGGTGGTAGAAGGTAAGAAAGGGCAGGAGGAGGGCAGGCCTGGTAGGTCTGGGGGAAGAGCTGTTTTCTCACTCAAAATATATGTCTGGTTTGGATCCAGCTTGGGGCYGTCTGTGCCAATCTTCTAGTCACTAGTGGCCAACACTAGATTTTAATGACTAGAGAGTTTCCAGATCCCTAAATCTGCTGTTCTCTAGTCCTTTCTTGGGGTTTAGGGAAGCAGTCCTGTTCATGATACTGTATGGAACACTGAACAATTGGGGATCATAGTATGGCATTAAAATCCTTTTAAAAGTAAATACAGTTCTTCCCTGAGAACGGATCTTCCCTGGATCCGTTCTCATGGTCAAGGTTTGGAGCCCCGCTGTGTCTCCTGAGGAGATGAGATAGGATAGGATATATTCCAAGCAGTCTTCCAAAATGATCAGAACTGATTCTTAGTCTTGAGAGGGTAACTGATAAGGTCTGGATAGCACTTGAATCAGTACCTGTGTTTGCTGCCAGACCTGGTCTGTGTTACACTGCAGTAACACAACTTCCACACTGCRTCCCCAGCTGCTGCTGCTGGTGTAGGTCTGCACGTGCATCTCGGGGTGGAAGCAACCAGTTGATTTAAGAGAGAACAGAGTCTGTGCTGGGAGGAATGCTGCGGGCAGAGGCTTTTACCAGGCTGCCTTGGCAAGGCAGCATCCCCCAGCAGTGTCTGCACTCAGGTCGGGAGGCAGGGATGGGATTTGGCCCTCTCAAGGGGACCTGAGCTTCCCCTGAGGACACAGTTTTCCTGCCCAGGGATAAGCTGTGATGTGAACTCAGTGCTGTGTGGATGGAAGTGTTTACTGCTTTACCTGAAGCCGAAGGCTGTCTGTCCATCTCTTGGGGTTAGATGTCTTCCTCCATGTTTCCTGCACTCTAGGCTCTTTCATGGTCAGCCAATGGCCAGAGAGAACAAGAAGAAATTTAGTTTGTGTCTTAAATGGTGTGATCCTGACTCTTCCCACTCTCACCTTTTTTTTTTCTATTCCCTCTAGGTATCCTGGACACATTGGAAGGACCCAACATGCCACCTTTTCAGAGAGTTGCCAGAGACATTCCAGTTGTTTCCAATGCTCTACTGAACACAACAGCCAAGGCTGCAGCATTGACCCTGTAGTTCCACAAACCTGGACTTGCTTCCTTCACTCCTTTCGGGGCTGTATAGGGCAGCATTACCTGCTGTCTCCTAGGAAGAGGACAGAACAACAGGAGTAGGACTTGCTWTCCTGGACTTCTCTTCTGGGTGCCAGTTTTGGGCAGCGGAGCGGACAGCTCTTCAGTGACTCRGAAGAACCAGGCTCTCCCCTTGCCCAGGCCTGGGCTATTTGGGGCAGAGCAGTCTTGTTACTTGTGTGCTTAGCTGGGAATTCCCAGCTCAGTTTGTTCCTTCCCCCATTTTTTTGCTTGCTCCTATAAACCCAGGGCTATGCGCTCTGTTGCTGTCCTGGAGAGGGAAGAATTAAATTGATGTTGGTGCTGAATGGTGTCTTACATTTGAGCCAAGCCGTGTAACAGGAGAGCACTGCTGGGTCTTTGTTCGCCTGCCTCTTCCCAGACTGAAAACAGGTTTCCTTGCACTTCTGTCCTACTTCAAATATTCCGTGTATTTTGGCTCTTCAATAGCTGCCAAAAGACACATGAACTTCTTAGCCTGCTAGTGTTTTTGAGACAACACGGTGCTGCACACGCATCACCTCTTTCTTGTCATTCTCCAGCTGGACCCCTCTCTCTCTCTCTCTTCACTTGGTCCAAGCTGCTGCTACTGTCCCCTTTTCTTTGTGTTTGCACATTTAAAAATTGTATCTCAGTCCTTCTGCTTCCACAGCACCTTTGGTTCTCATCTCCCCCCTGCCTGTGTCACTCTCTGGGCCTGCAGCACCGTGTACGTGTTCTTCTGTGGCTGTTTCTGCTGCAGGGGCTAGTTCCTCCTCAAGCACCTTGCTCTCATCTCTCCCCCATACACACGTTTTACCTCATTCCTCTCCCAGGGACACAGAGGCACCCTGCTKCTCCAGACCTCCGTGTACATGGCCTGTTGTATGCTCTGGCTTTTCAAGTAGGGCCTAGGCCTAATTTTCTCTGAGCCTTGAGAGGGTCTTTGACAAATTCTCCCCAGTAAATGCACTTTTATAAAGCGAGAAGTGGGGGAGTCTGCACTGGCAGTAAGGAAGCTGGCACGTTTAGCTCCAGCAGCCGGCTGCAGGAGCGCTCCAATAACTACGTGGAAATGCAGCAACCCAGGCTAGGCTTACCTGAGCTTCACTAAGTCATCACTGCACATTTTGGATGCAATTTTTCCTCCCTGCTCTAACTTGTACTGGTCCGAAAGTAGAAAGCTGTTACGGAGCTGATACAGAGTTTCCAGCTTTTCTCTCTCCCAGTAGTTGTGGATAACTGTAGGAGAGGAGCCACCCTGAGAGTTTCCCCTCGCACGCAGCCTGAAACAAGCCAAGGGCTCTCCCTCTCTTGCTGTTCCCACAAACGAGTACGTGGCACGGGGCATCTCCGGATCATCCTCTCTGTCCCTTTGCCTGTGTTGCTGGCAGAGGATGCAGCTGCAGCAGCATCCAGCCTGGAGCCACATGCAAGGAAAGAGAGAAAGACAGAGGCCCTGAGGCCTGCCCAAGTCTTCTAGTTACTGCTCAAGTCTTCGAGTTACCAGCCCAAGTGTTATGACTCCGTCGTGCCAGACTATCCCTGCCTTATTGCCTTTAGTTCCTGCTGTGGTTGTGTAGAGAAAACCTAAATTCTCCGTCCTTTCCTTTTGAGGGGGGTGGCTCTATGAGAATGGTGCACAGTTCTCTGTGAGAATTTCCCCCTGTTATTTTTCAGCTGGACTAAATATATAAGGCTCAGATTAAAAAGTTAAAAATTATATATACAGTCATAAAATGTGAACATATAAAACATACTCTGGCTCCCTCTCTCCTCTGCATGGTGTGAGGAGAAGTCCAGGCTTGTTTCCCTTCGTCACCTCGGTTGTGTTTCAGGCTGCAAGCAAGCAGCTCCRTGTTGTTTTCCTTCCTGTGCCCAGTCTCACTTTAGTTGATAAGCCACCTTTTTTTCCCTCCATTTATGTGTTAACAATTTATGGCATCAGTGCAGAGTCAGCTCTCCTTCCCGGTGCCCCAAAGAGTAAATAATAAACGATCTTCCTCATACCTGCTGGGTAACGGCACGTGACACGGCACCAGGGCCTAGCTCTTGACAAAACGCTCCTCCTGCGTCCCCTTCCACGTGTCCCTGAGCGGGTTGGGTGCCTTGCACCCTTGGCTCCTGCTCATTTTTCCCCAGTGCATCCGAGCACAAAGCAAGGCAGGGGATTCGTCTCCGCAGAGCACTGCGGCTGCAGGCAGCAGGCAGGGGAGACGCCAGCCCCAGAACCTGAGAAGCAGCCTCATGGCCCCAGTAACGCTCCAGGGCTGCCGCAGGGAAGCACAGGGACACGTCCCTGGGCTCCCCTCCAGTCACCTCGCCAAAAATAGTGTGTTTAATGAAGCACCGGTTATTGAGCGCCTGGAGGTAATTAGGAGGTGAGACTGAGTCCGATTTTGTGCTCAACCTGTGCTGATCCGTGGCTGGCATTTACTTGGTCATCCCCCTGCCTGGCACTCCCAACATTTAACCTCTTCTGCTTGGAGAGAACATGGGATCCTGTCCCTCACTTGGATCCGTGGATGCGACTCCCACGTTCAGGCRCTCCCGGCTGGAAAGCCCGGCCCACAGAAGCTGTGCCCAGCTGGATGCAGGCAGAGGCTGCTCAGGCCATGCTGTAGGGGTGTTGCCAGGCCTGGGGACTACTCACGGTGTAGCCTGCAGCTGCAGTAGCATCAAACCTGTGTGCGTCCCTGCGCAAGACAGGAGGAGGGATCTGTAGATGTCTCTAGAGAGCAGCAGCGGATTATTTAGAGAGCACGGTCACATCTATTTTGTAAATCTGACACTGCAGCCAAAGTGTTAAAGTCGACATCTGAGTCCATATTCTTATCAGCTGCTCCCTCTCAGTCTCATATCAGGACATAATGCACAGCCCTTGGCTCAGGTGACCTGCTCCCTCCATTCCCAAGGAGAAGAATTAATGTTTCCCCTCCAGATCCCTTTTCCACCTTGTTTTCCATCTCTTCTCTCCTGCCCTGGCCCACAAACAAAGCGGAGGAGCCTGGGTTTGTGCCTTAGTTACCCATTGGACTGGAATTTACTGGAGCGTTGCTGTAGACAGCAGCCAAGCTTGCTCCTTAGCAGATTAGTTACGTGCAGAAAGCTGCCTACTTATGTGGTTTAACCTAATTTCCACATCGCTGGCTTCCTTTCTCAGCTCAGTGGAGCTGAAACCACAGGGGCCCTGCTTCCCATTTCTCTCGAAGTACAGGGCTACCAAAGGGGGGAGGACAACCCCCTGCTCTCTTTCTGTGAATGGAAACAAGGTCGGCTGTGCCCCTGACGTTCCTAAGCAGGTAGAGGGGTAGGGGCTTTGTGCTGCAGAGGCGGGCAAGCCTGCACCCATTCCCATCTCCTGCGAGCTGCCTCCTCGCCTTGAGCGAGGCTTGTGACCACAGGCAAGCTGCCTCCCTTACCATGAGCATCAGGCATGTCCCTGCTGCCCAAGGAAATATCYGTGTCCACACAGACAGGATCCCTTCCTTGTTCCGCCAGGCAGCTTCCTCATCTGTGTCATTCCCTGGTGGGAGAGAGGAAAAGAAAAATACAGCAGAGGGGTAATACACGACCCTATTTCCTCTGCTTCTCTTGTACGTCCAGAGCCCTTCCACGTGCTGCCCCACTTCTCTTAAAATACCTCCCACTGACGCCAATTCCTAAGAGAGCAGATTAACCTACAAGGCGCTCCTCATACTGCAGCTACACTGTTTCACCCCGCGCTGGCTCAGGTAGCCGCRCTTGCTCAGGGTGAGATCCAGAGAGCTGGGCGAGAGAACATCGCGCTCCTAACGCTATCAGGGCAGTGTGAAGGCCTCAGACCTGCCCCAGGTCACCAGCCCCGGGGCTGCCACCCCTCCGCAGCTCTCCCAGCTCCACCTCAGACTTGTGACCAGCACCAGAAGGTACCAGAGGAGGATCCCCTCGCCTGCCCCTTTGCGGGGCAGCTAACGCGGCGCTGCCCTTCCCTGTTGTGCTCGCTGGGGACACAGCAGGAGGCGGGTGTCAGGGTGCCGTGGGGCTGCCCCAACACAGCAGGAGGCAGGTGTCACCGTGCCGTGGGGCTGCCCCATCCTGCTGACAACACAGCCTTGGCTGCAGACAGCGGAGGGCCAGGAGGGTAACACAGCTGCTGGAAGTGGAGGATTTAGCAAGCTGTACTCGAAATGTGGCCAAGGCCGGTAGAGGGGCTGCTGTTTCCCAGCCCAAATTGCCCCTGGGGCYGCCCAGCCCGCAGCCGCACAGGGGCCCAGCACAGCAGCCCCCTGAGCCCGGGTCCCACCGGGGCGGCACCGAGGGGCCCTGCGGCGCAGCGGCTTCCCCAGGGCTCGCTCTGCCCTCGGGCCTGTCGCCCGCAGAGCCCCGAGCGGGGCCGGGACGGCGGCGAG